GGGGGGCCTAGCCTTCTAGTTAATATAATTAGTCCAGTAAATTAATAAATACAGTAGTTTCAAAGAGAAAATGAGCCAAAATTCTCTTGATAATTATATGTTGCTTTTTGTCATTCATTATATCCTCATTGTTGTACGCAATCAAAGTTCTAAATATATGACTGAAAAAATACCCACTTAAACGAAAGGTTTTCTCTGGGCTCTGAAAAACTTTTCTGAATGTGACACTTTCATAAATTATGAATAAATATAATGAAACAGATCATATTACCGAAAGTGTTTGAGAAGTGATAGCTTGCTCCAATGTTTTTGTTTGGGGAACTCGGAAAGTATAGAAGTTCTGGTCGAAGATTGGGGCATTATCGTTGGTGTCATTGACAATGACTGTCACACGAGTGGTTGAAGACAAACTTGGGGTGCCATCATCACAGACTGTAATCTGAAAAATAAAGTAAAAAAAAATGGTTGGCAATGTTTTTTAAACACGGTGGCTTGACTCAGATAGATCAAAGACCGAAGACTGTATGAAATTAAGGATATTTGCTTGAAATCTGAATTAAAAAGATTTCATTTTTGAGAGTATTATGGAAACATGCTTATCATTATAATTGAAAAAGAAATAAATTATATGCTGTAAAAATAAGTTGTGGGGAAAATAATTTTTTCAGATAGTTCTCGATTCAAAAACATAGTTTTTTCGTTAATTTTCTCATTTATTTATATTCCTTATTGCAATTCGAGAAAACCTCCCTGGTAAAAATTGACGGTAGAACCTGTGTTCCAAAATACCATAGACCTACCACGGCCGGCTGTAAGATTTCCAATAGCTTCTATAGCCGGCTACACAATTTCTTATAGCCTTTTATAGCCGATGGCGATTAAGCAACTCACAGCCAGACGATAAAGTGTATGCTAAACGTCACTAATTATGGATGCTAGGACTTGGTGAGTTTTTGGACCACTGCTCTCTTTTTGGGCCGTAGAATCTTGATTTATTTTTCGAGGAAAGCTCCGTACTTTTGATGGATGCCTGCCATTCCTAATATATTAGAGCGCGTATGATACTGTGGACTGTGCAATACCTCTGGTGTGAAATAGTTGCTTCAAGCGCCGTGGCACGCTGCGGTGCGGCAGGCGGGCAGCCAGCGCGAAACGCGCATCGGCGCCTACAAACCTAACAGGGATACTTCACGCGTTGCGCAATGCGTGAAGTATCCCTGTTAGGTTTGTAGGCGCCAGTGCGTCGCCGCTCCGCTTTGTGTTAGGCTCTAATATTTAATCTGGCGGAGTCAGCGTTATTCAACTCATGATTTTGAAATGTTTGCATATCCTGTATGGATTATTCTCGTTTTAATTGATGAAAAAAAATAAGTATTAAAGGAAAATATGACGTGTGTTTTGTAAATATGAAGGTGGTTCCGTATCAAACTTAATGATTTCCAAAGCACACGAATTTCTACACAATTTCTTATAGCCTTTTATAATCGATGGCGAAAAAGCAACAGCCAGGCGATAAAGTGTAAAGCCCGGCGATAGGAACTATAGCCCGGCTGCATACTTTTTTATCGCTTCGTATAGCCCGGCTGTATGATTTCCCTCGCATTCTACAGCCAGCTATATGATTTTCTGTAGCCTTCTTTAGCCGGCTATAAGAATTCCTATGGTATTTTGAAACGCAGCTCTTATCGCCAATTTTTACCAGGGCTCTTCGGTCAACTACAAATAATTTAGAAATATTACTGTGTCCAGTGAAGTTCACGCGATTGCATCTTTTTTTGGAAGGGTAGGGGGTGAAGGGAAACGAACACAGCCACATTTAACAAACATGAACGTAAAAAATAAACAAACGAAAAATAATATGAAGGAATAAGGAATCAGTCAGCAATGTAAATAAATAAAAATTAAGGAAAACTAGACATTTTAACAATTTATGATCAAATGCAATTCATCTGTGTGTGCGTCTGATCGCTGTGATAAAAACATGAAAATTAATTGCATTGATGAAACTAACCTCTAAGGCATGTTCTTGCTGATTTTCTCTGTCTAATTTTCGGCCTGTGGTGGTGATCAGTCCTGAAAAACAAAAAACACAGAGCCATTAGTTTAAAATAAGGCGCTCGTGCGTTTTTTTCAGTTAAATTTTTTTCGACCAAAGTGCAAGAGAGTACCAAGCTAAAATTTGGATATGATTTTTGGCAGTAGAAAAAAGGTCGATTACCGCCCAAAACAAATAAAATAAAATAAAATAAAAATTAAAAAAATCCGCAAAATTATCCCGATATTTCCGTGCGCTTTGGTCTTAAACCTAAAAAATCGTCATTCACCGCTTTCAGAGCCATAATTTGATGCGGCCAGACATGTACCAAAAGGACTCAACATCCGGCTAAAACCAAATAATATTTTCGTTAGATATTGACCGTCTACTGTCAAGGTACGCTGGATTCACAGTAACCCAGGCGGGCCAATTTTGGCCCTGAAAAGGGTCGGACTTGCTCGTATCTGAGGGCGTAGCTTTGGTAGAGAGCGTATTGTAAGGAGAAAAAAAAGGTATATATTTTATTCGAAGGTCAGGGAAAGTCTGGGCATTTGAAGATGAAGAAATTATGGCAATCCTGTACATTGAAAATCACTCAAATTTTCAACTGTTCGTGCACATCTACTCTCGATGGAAAAATATCAGTCTTGTCATTCAAAAGTGATGTGGGGAAAAAAAGAAACAATGAAATCATATAACTAAGGTATAATTCCGTTTCCAGTAGAGATGAAATGAAGAAAAAGCCCCCCCCCCTTCCGCATCAATCCCACCGCAATCGCGCGACAGGAACATAATGATAAACGCTTCGACGCAACTATTCGTGCTCGAAAGATATCATCGTTGCATATATTCAGAAATGAAGGCGCTGCGGGTGTCTCATGCACGTAAGGGTATGCACAGCGTTCTTTCACGCCGTCGGCACGTAGCTTGGGGCAACGATTTTATTATGGATACATGCATATCGACGGTGAAAGTCGGCAATCACATAACTCGGTTTGCGACGTCGCAGACTTCCTGTCATACTTTATTTTTTAAACGGAAAACTACTCAACGGCAATTCTTTAAAACTGTCGTGATTTTTCTTCTCAATGCGAAGAAAATTCTGCAAAAACTTCAAGAAATAATGTCAATTTGCTCTCCTTTAAAAAAATGACGTAGAGGCGGAGATTTTCAGACACCGCAAACGAGTTATGTGATTGCCGACTTTCACCGTCGATATACGATAGGATAAAGATATATTCTCACGGCGCGCTCTTCCAACAATTATTCTTAGTGTTGGAATTCCCTGCCTGTTCTGATTTGGCGCATATTTTCAAAATGCTTCCATCTTTCCAAGGAAAAATATCGCTCTGTAATAAAGAGTTCATGAAAAAAATGATCATCCTGAATTAAAGAGATTTCCTTGCCTTTGCCGGTCGATCAGAACAGGCCCGCCACAAGGGGGGGGGGATACTGGGTCCTTAGTACCGGGCCCTGGAGGGGCCCGTGACGCAGGTGACAAACCACTACGAATTCATGTGTAACCCTTGTCTCGTAGGGAAAAGTGAAAAAAATTACCCTAAAAATTCCGCAAAAGGTGAATAAAGTTTCAAAAACACGCTAGGGCACTATAAAATTTTTCTTACTTTTTTAGAGATTTTCAAGATTTTGAGTATATGTAGAATGATATTTGGACGTATTTCTGTCAAACGGAACTAAGCGCCAATGTGAGTTCCTTTTAAGGAATTTAGAATGCCGGATAGCGCGTTCTGTCGAACGGAACTAAGCGCCATGGAAAAGCATTGCGAGTATAGGAACGAATGAGCCCGACGCCCGGTTCCGCCGCCAATCCAATCCCCCCTCTACCTTCCTCCTCCGATGGCGCTTAGTTCCGTTTGACAGAAATACGTCCATTTTTGGTAACTGTGTTTCATTTTCCTCCGTTGTCGGATGCTAAGAGGCTCCTTTCTGGGCATCCTCGACTTCAATGGCTTAACTCCCTCGCCATAGACGTACGAAAGGGGAGTCCAGGGGGGCCCGGCTCCCCATAGAATTGAAAATTATCATCTGCCCCCTCAAAAAAAATTTATAGATGTTTTGAATGCAACAATTCGAAAGTTTTTGGTGCTGAAAGTAAACAAAAAGGCGTAATTATTCTGCAGAAATTGATGGAAAATCTCCATCATAAGAGCTTCATAAGGCGTCCAAATAGATTTAAAATTTCAAAAATTTCCCGGGGGAGGCCCCCCGGACCCCCTCCCCCTGTGCTAGGGGCCCGGGCCAGAAAATTGGTACCAGGGCCCGAGATGGGATGTGGTGGGCCTGGATCAGAAAAGGCTGCTTGCAGACTGAGGTGCAACCCCGAGTAGGTGCTCCCATAAGCAGTAAACAGGCCCATGCTTTCCCATGAGAATATTTTAGTGACCTTTTTTCACACGAATCATGTTAGAGGCAGAATAAAACTTCATGAATACTTTATTTAAATTTCCTTTGAAACACGAGGCCCAAGTTTTACACGTGTCTCTGTTAACAACTCATCCCCGCAATTCGAGGCGGTAACTGACATGAACAAAACATTTTGAGTTACTTGACCCAGTTCAAAATGCCGGTCTGAAAGTCAAAAGTTACCACAACGTTTTCCCCTAGACTTTGCCTAGAAGAATCATCGGCTTACGATTGGATGTATTTATGCTGGAGGGAACTAGAGACGTGTGGGAAAGATGGGGTGTGCTCGTGCAAGCTGCATATCGACGGTGAAACTACCAAACCACGTATCTCGGTTTGCGACGTCGCAGACTTTCTGTCATACTTTATTTTTTAAATGAAAAGCTACTTAACGTCCAGTCTTGAAAATTTCCGTGATTTTTCCTCTTCGTGCGGAGAAAATTCTGTGAAAATTTCAAGGAATGATATTGATTCGGTCTACTTCCAAAAAATAAAATGTGAGCGGAGATTTTTAAACACCGCAAACGAGATACGTGGTTTGGTAGTTTCACCGTCGATATGAAAAAACGTAAAGAGGGCGCGATTCCTATTGAGAAAATGGAAAATTGGTATTTGACATTGAATCGAAAGGAACTAAGCGGCAGCTGTTAGTGGCACTCATGAGCCGTGGGCATGTGACAAGAGCGTTGTGGACAGGGCTCATGAGTTGTAGACTCCCGACGTCGAGATCCTCGTCTCCGTCGCGTCGATGCTGACGTCACTGGTGCTCTACAGTTCCCATTCATTCTTACGGCCCACAGCTAACGAGCATACTCCTTCTTTCCCACCCGTCTCTCGTTCTTTTTAGAATAAATACGTCGAATTTACCGTGACAACTAGTCTCACTCGGATTGCATTTTGCAGGAAAAAACCACACATTCTGACTCATCAATAAGCGCACTTATCAGCACGAGGGCGACTACATGGCACATATATTGTTTTTAAATCAAATCAAGAAAATAAGAACTAAAAGCAAACAAAATAAGAACTAAAAGCAGGTAAAACAAGGCTGCGATTTTGGTAGTATTTTTAATATTTTAGCTTTTTTTATCCATGTTTTCCTTATTGACTAAATAAATAAGGAAAACGTGGATAAAACAAAGCTAAAATATTAAGAACACTACCAAAATCGCAGCCTTGTTTTACTTGCTTTTAGTTCTTATTTTGTTATATTCATACTTTCGGACTCAGAAATGTTTGCGTTTTCCTTATCGACAATTGGGTCTCAATGTTTATTTGCGTTCTTGTTTACCCTTAACAGTCAATGTAATTGTTTACGTCTAAGCATCTGTGCAAGAAGAAACATTTGCTAGGAACATTGTAAACATTTTCAGTAACTTCAGGGTCAACAAATTTCCATCGATGTGGTGCCCTAGCAAAAATACTCATGAGCGACTTGTGTCGGACATTCTATCGACGTTGCTTCAGTCCTTTAATTTCCTGACTCTTTCTTTAAAAAACTGATATAATGTTTTAGACGATCTTTGTTGAATCCCCTGGATTAATTACGCTTTATTGAGATCCTTCAAGAATCAGTCTGTGAGTAAAATCAACAACAACATGTCCGTTAAATCTCAATGGGTCGTATTATACCTGTTAGTTGCGATGAATGCAAGCATTCCAGCGCATCATAAGTTAAACGTGAGTGAAAAAAATGATTATGAACAATTGTTTTTGCTTGCTGTCAAAGTTTGCCACAACACGATCCAACTTTCCGATCAAAAATTCCTTCACATAGCCAATTTCAACTCTCATCCGATTGTGCCTATTTTGATCGAAACTTTACACGATTTCTCGATCCCAATCGTCATATCGACACATTACTGCGAGCTGATGGGCTGGAGCAAGAAAAATCAGATGAAAAATGTGATTTTTTTCCTCGATGATTTCGAGGAAATCACAAGTCTGATTTTAGGTTCGGCCTCGCGGGAAGGCAATAATTGTGGAGACAGCTTTAACCACGATAAAAATAAACATGCATTGGTACATAACGCATCAATTTCTGAAGTCAATCGTGCTCATAAGGCCGAGTGTCGTAAATCAAATAAATCTCCACGATACTGCATTAAGGTCGACGAATATATGCATTCTATGGGGGACGGAAAATGTGACGAACAAATGTTTCTTTCCTCAGCAGAATTGAACGGCTCCGGCGAGTTATCGGATTTGAATTTTGACTTAACCCGCGGTTTGTACACGAACCCAATTTGGAACTCGAACAATTACTTGATTTTCATGCTCAGCGAGTTCGGCCGGGCTACTTCCAACTCAAAGACCTGTGTTCATCCTCGGGAATGGGTTTGCGATTTCGACCTCGGAAACCAAACCTCCGCGAACGATTACGATGCGCTGGTTTTTGGCTTCAAGTTTTTCTGGCGGTTCTTCCGCGGCTTGAAAACGATTATCTGCCACGAGGAAGGGTGCAATGGATACGACCCTTTCGCCGAAAACATGGTCCGGTACAATGGAGAGGGCAACGAAACTTACTTCGACTTCTCCTTGACTAATATGCATAGGAAACGTTTGAAAATACTCTTGAAAGATATCCATGCTGGTTTCGTGAGCGAAGGGAGCA